GGGAGGTTAAGGTGGGCAGATCACCTGAGGTCAGGAGTTCGAGACCAGACTGGTCAACATGGCAAAACCCTATTAAAAATACAAAAATAAGCTGGGTGTGGTGGTGCATGACTATAATTCCAGCTACTTGGGAGGCTGAGACAGGAGAATCACTTGAAATCAGGAGGTGGAGGTTGTAGTGGCAATGAGCCACTATTGTGCCACTGCACTCCTGCCTGGGTGACAGAGCAAGACTGTCTCAAAAAAAAAAAAACCAAAAAACCAAAAAAATCCATTTTCTGTGGAGAAATTTACATAAGTAACAAGGAACTGAATATTAATCACTAAGACAATGGGGAAAATGTCTCCAGGGCATGTCACAGACCTTTGTGGCAGCCCCTCCCATCACAGACCCAGAGGCCTAGGATGAAAAAAATGGTTTCATGGGCTAGATCCAGGGTCCCTCTGCTGTGTGCAGTCTAGGGACTTGCTGCTCTGCATCCCAGCTGCTCCAGCTATGACTAAAAAGGGCCAAGGTACAGCTCAGGCCGTGGCTTCAGAGGGTACAAGCCCCAAGCTGTGGTAGCTTCCATGTGGTATTGAGCCTGCAGGTGCACAGAGGTCAAGAATTGAGGTTTGGAAACCTCTGCCTACATTTCAGAGGATGTCCAGGCAGAAGTTTGTTGCAGGGTTGGGGCCCTCGTGGAGAACCTCTGCTATGGCAATGCAGAAGGGAAATGTGGGGTCGGTGCCCCTACACAGAGTCCCCACTGGGGCACTGCCTAGTGGAGCTGAGACGAAGGCCACCATCCTCTAGACTCCAGAATGGTATATCCACCAACAGCTTGCACCAAGCACCTGGAAAAGCCACAGACATTTAACGCCAGCCCATGAAAGCAGCCGGCAGGGAGGCTGTACCCTGCAGAGCCACAAGGGCAGAGCTGCCTAAGACCATGGGAACCCAACTCTTGCATCAGCATGACCTGGATGTGAGATATGGAGTCAAAGGAGTTCATTTTGAAGCTTTAAGATTTGACTGCCCTGCTGGATTTCAGACTTGCGTGGGGCATGTAGCCCCTTTGTTTTGGCCAATTTCTCCCATTTGGAATGGCTGTATTTACCCAATGCCTTTACCCCCATTGTATCTAGGAAGTCACTTGCTTTTGATTTTACAGGCTCATAGGCAGAAGGGACTTACCTTGTCTCAGATGAGACACTGGATTGTAGACTTTTGAGTTAATGCTGAAATGAGTTAAGACTATGGGGGACTGTTGGGAAGGCATGATTGGTTTTGAGATGTGAGGACATGAGATTTGGGAGTGGCCAGGGAAGAATGATAAGGTTTGGCTGTGTCCCCACCCAAATCTCAGCTTGAATTGTGACTCCCACAATTCCATGTGTCGTGGGAGGAACCTGGTGGGAGGTCATTGAATTATGGGGATGGGTCTTTCCTGTACTGTTGCCATGATAGTGAATGAGTCTCATGAGATCTGATGGTTTTAAAAACAAAAGTTTCCCTGCACAAGCTCTCTCTTTACCTGCCACCATCCATGTAAGATGTGACTTGCTCCTCCTTGCCTTCCACCATGATTGTAAGGCCTCCCCAGCCATGTGGAACTGTAAGTCCATTAAACCTTTTTCCTGTATAAATCACCCAGCCTCAGGTATGCCTTTATTAGCAGCGTGAAAATAAACTAATACAGATGGGTCTCACCTTGTTGCCCAGGCTGGTCTCAAACTCCTGGACTCAAACAGTCCTCTTGCCTCAGCCTCCATGGTCACTTTAAATGTGAATAGTCTAAAATACACCAATTAGGTCAGGCACAGTGGCTCACATCTGTAATCCCAGCATTTTGGGAGGCTTAGGTGGGAAGACTCCAGGAGTTTGAGACCAACCTGGACAACATAGTGAGACCCTGTCTCTTCAACAAAATTTTTTTCAAATGAGCCAGGTGTGGGGGCGCACACCTACAGTTCCAGCTATTCTAGTGACTGGGGCAGGGAGAATCACTTGAGCCCAGGAAGTCAAGGCTGAAGTGAGCCATCATTGCACCACTGCACTCCAGTTTTGGTAATAAAGCCAGACCCTGTCTCTAAAAAAACAATAAAGTAAAATAAAATATGCCAATTAAAATACATTGTCAGAGTAGACTAAAAAAAAAGACAATAAAAATTTTTAAAAATTTGAATAGACATTTCTGTAGACACAATACCTGATAAAACACCTCAAAAGATGTTCAGCATCATCAGAGAAATGCAAATCATAGCCACACAATCACTGCACACTAAGATACCTATAATTAAAAAAAAAAATAAACCAGACAATAACAAGATTTGGCAAGTGTGTGGAGAAATTACCACCTTGACACACTGCTGGTAGGGGCATAAAATGGCATACCTGCTGTAGAAAAGGGTAGGCATTTCCTCCAAACATGAAGCAAAGAGTCACATACGACCCAGCAGGTTCACGCCTAGGTATGCGCCCCCCAAAAATAAAAGTACATATCCAAAGACTGGTACGTGAACATTCACAGCAGCATTATTCATAATAATGAAAAATGTTAACAAGTGGAAAGAACAAATACTCATCAACTGATGACTGGATAAGGGGAAAGGTGATATATATGTGGAATATTACTCAGCCATCAACAGGAATGAAGCACTGACAGGCTACAACGTGGATGGACCTCAAAAGCATCCTGCGAAGTGAAAGAAGCCAGCCGCAAAGACCCCACATAGTGTGTAACTCCACTTCCATGAAACACCCACAACAGGCAAACCTAGAGACGGAAAGTAGCTTCGTGGCTGCCAGGGGAGGGGAGGAAAGGGGATGGGGTGTGACTGCTAATAGGTGGCGTCTTTCTCTTACAGCACGTGAAAAGGTTCTAAAATCAGATTGTGATGGAGGATGCACAGCCCTGTGACTATACTAAAAATCACAGAATTATATACTTTACATGGGTGCATTGTCTATTGTATGGAATGTGAATTATACCAAAATAAAGCTGTTTCCAAAAACCTCTCTCAGCCTCAAGTTAACAGTGGGACTTTTTTTTGGAGTAATGCTTTCCTTTCAGAACACCTACCACCCTCCAGCCAAAACATCTCCCCACAACCAACCCAAGACAAAGCCTAGCTCCTCCTGCTCATGAGTGCCTGGCCTCACCTGTTCCCACCCAGAGCCTCCTGGGATCTCAGCATGGCCAGCTGGGCTCTGCACATTGTCCGTCCCTGAGTCTCCCATGAGGGCTCGTACCTCATCCTGGGCATGAGAGTTTCCCAGAACATCCACCGCAGGCTGAGGCAGACCCAGGGGCAAGGGGACCACCGAGAGACCCAGGGTCATCACTGTCACCCCGACATCAACACATAACTGTAGCTACTCCTCGGTGAATATCAGTCACATCCTGGTGGTATGGGCCAAACTGAGTCCCCAAAATGATACATTCAAGTTCTAATCCTGGGTACCTGTGAATGTGACCTCATGTGGAAGTGAGGTCTTTGCAGATATCATCAAGATGGGGCCATACTGGATCAGGGTGGGCCCTAAATCCAATGCCAGGTGTCCTTATGAGAAGAGGGGAGGAGGTGGAGATGCACACACAGGCACACCCCACGCGGCAGCGGAAGCAGGGCCAAGTGTCTAGGCCAAGGCAGCCTCTGTCGGAGGTTCAAGGGGCAAGGACTGGTTTCCCTCCCTGGTGAGCCTTCAGAAGAGGCACGGCTTTGCTGACATCTTAACTATGGACTCAGGCCTCCGGACCATGAGACAACAGCGTCTTTTTATTTCTTTTTTAAATCTGCTGATTAAAAGGGAGCCTGCTGATGCTCTGTTGTGAATATCACGTTCACACAGAACATGAACCACGTCCACATTGGGAACACCATGTCCTCACACGGCAGAGGAGCAAAGACTCAAAAGAGGACTAAAGTCGCCCCTTTTACAACAGCATCAGCCCCACCCATGCTGGAAGAACCTACATGGCTCCATCAGCCCCCAAAAGTCCCATCTCCACCACCACCACAATAAGAAACAAAGTTCAACATGAGTTTTAGGGGAAACATTCCAACCACAGCACCCATCAAATCCTTGACGAGACCACGACCTCAGTCAGTATTAGCTTACACTCTGGCGGGACCCAGAAGCAGGGGCAGAGCTACACCATGCCTGGCCCTCCGGCTTACAGAAACTGAGATCATCACGTAACTGCCCAATGGGTTCACCATGCCCGCTGCCTCGACAGAGCCAATTACCAAGACAGGGGAGCTGCAGGAGACAAAGAGCAGTTCACACACAGCCAGCTGTGCAGGAGAGCATTTCATTACAACTCAGATCCTTTTCGGAGACGACGCACTGCTGTTCTTCATCCACCTGATTCGTGGTTACCTGTCCTGGTGGCCCCAGAACACCAGCATGCCTGGGTGTGAGGGCTTCACGTGGCTGTCCCCGCACACACAACCAAAGCCGGTGCACCTGGGTGTGAGGGCTTCACGTGGCCGTCCCCGCACACACAACCAACACCAGCACACCTGGGTGGGTGTGAGGACTTCACGTGGCCATCCCCGCACACACAACCAAAGCCGGTGCACCTGGGTGTGAGGGCTTCACGTGGCCGTCCCCGCACACGCAACCAAAGCCGGTGCACCTGGGTGTGAGGGCTTCACGTGGCCGTCCCCGCACACGCAACCAAAGCCGGTGCACCTGGGTGTGAGGGCTTCACGTGGCCGTCCCCGCACACACAAACAATTCCAGCACACCTGGGCAAGCATGAAGGCTTCACATGGCCGTCCCTGTGCACTCACAACCCCAGCCCTGGTTGTCCCTGCTCAGCTGCTTCATAGGAGCGAGGTGGGAGCTGGGAAATGCAGAAGGGAGGTCTCTGGCCTTCTCAGGACTTCAGAAAACGGGCTGGACTTCCAAGATGTGTGGGCTGCCAGGAGTCTCTACACGCCTTGCTCAGTGGTGTGAGGAGCCCCAAGCCCAGCCCGCCACCGCGCCCTGAGCCTGCCCCGGCACTCACGGACTGGGAGCTGTCCCTACTGTTGTCCCGGGACTTGTTCTTGGCCAGGCGCTTCTTCTTCTTGTGCAGGGGCCTGGATTCCAGGATCATCTCCTCCAACTCGAAGGTGGGGTCGCAGTGCAGACGGCCTTTCTACAGAGGGATGGGTGCTGAGCCCCAGCCCGTGGATGACGCCACGTCCAGCCCAGGGCCCCCCCACTGAGCCGCCCACAGGCTTACATTGGGCACGAAGTCCGGCTCCACCCTCTTCTCGCTCAGATGGCCCCACAGCACGCCGGCCAGCGCAGGGGCTGCCTGCACGTCCTGGAGGCTGGAGAACCGATGCTCGGGGTTCACAGTGAGGAGCTGCAACCAGGCATGAGTTAGAGGGCCCAGGGCCCACAGCCCACCAGCACGGAATAGCCCGGCACCCCCAGCCAGGGCCCACAGCCCACCAGCACGGAATAGCCCGGCACCCCAGGTCAGGGCACCCTGAGGAGTGTCCCACCAGGTCTGAGGTTCAGAGCTCAGGAACCTCAGGGCCACGTGAGGAAGGGTGGTGCCGACATCAGGCCAAGCACTGTGGTTGGCTCAGCATGTGGCCCAGGGGACGCCTGATCTGAGTGGTGCTGCCCAAACTCCTGGCACCAGAGGACAGCAGAGGGATATGCAGGGAAGGCTCTGCCGGGATTTGCCAGGAGGTGGCAGCCAAGGGCTAGCTAGCAGCTAACACTCTGCCCGCAGCTGGCCTCACAGTAACTATTCCAGAGCCACTCCCTTCACCGCATGGGACCTCCCAGGTGAGCCCGGGGCAGCCGTGCGTGGCCTGGGAAGCAGCATCCCAGCCCTGGCACTCCCGTCTTTCCAGGGAAAATGCCACAGACCCAGACCCCGTGCGAGGTTTCCCAGGCCTGGGCTTAGGCGTGTGGGTCATCCCCAGTCCCCACGCAGGCCCTCTCTAGCCCAGTGCCACCTTGTGAACTACCTGGGCAGGTGTGGCCGAGCTTCATAGGGCTAAAGCAGAGTTAAGAGGCTCTCTCGGGGCTGGGGAGAGGCCCCCGGTAGGCAAGGCCTCCCTGACTTTAGGCTGCTTGGCTACAATTCCAAAGCAGGAGGCCCCACCTGCCCGAGACATGGGAGCTGGGAGACAGCTGGGCCCGTGTGGCACACTCGCTCCCTTCCCTGCCCTGCCTGCGCCTGGCTCTGACTCTGAATCCCCCATGATATTCCAGTGAGGCTCTGAACAGGGAGCCACACAGGCCAGTCAAGACACAGCCCCGGCCTAGTCCCAGATCACAAATGGGAGGCACCACTGATGGCCACTCCCCTGCCCGTGTCCCTGCCAGGCTGACGTCCCTTGAGAGGCATTTGCAGTGGGCAGTGGCTGCCCACCTTCCCTGGGAGGCACTGGAACAAAGCATCCCGGAGATAGCATGGGCTTGAACCCACCCACCCCACACCCTTCTTCCAATAGTGGCACACAGGGACCTGACTCAGGGCTCCTGTGTGGTGACAGGCAGGGCGGGTGCACAAGCCTGCTGTGAGGGTGCCTGGGGACACAGCTCAGGGGATCACCAAGACACCAGTGACCTGGTAGGGCTCGCGCCTGGTGAGAGGGCCACAGAGCCTGCCACCAGCTTGCTGTCCGGGGCTCGGGGCTGCCATCTGTGGAGGCCCCCACAGGCTGCAGTGAAGGGACCTGTGTCCGCCAGGAAGCGGCACTAAGTGTGCACTGGAGGGGGTGCCCCGAGCCACAGATGAATGAGGGAGGGAATGGGTGCTCCGTGGGCAAGGAGGCTCAGGGATGGGGGCTCACCTTCCGCAGCAAGGCCACCATCTCCCTGGACCACGTGGGGACATACTGGACGCTCACGGTGCTGAACAGCTGCACCAGGGACTCCACAGCATTGCTGGAGTGGATGTCGTAGGGCCTCTGGAGACAGGGAGGCAGTGCTGGGCAGATCCTCCTGGCCCCCAGGACACCCAGAACAATGCCAGACACAGGTGGCATCACCCTAAGAGGACTCCCTCCCCCCACCCCAAGTGCAGGCACAGCTCTGAGCACAGCCTGGCCTTCACCTGCCTCAGGGGAGCCTGGGTTAGATAAAGCTTGCACCCGGGTCCTGCACCACGGCTGCTGTGCCCATCTGGCTGGGATCCCAGGGGCCTGGGTTCAGGGAGAACAGCCCCAGAGGGCCAGGAGGGAGCTTCCTCAGAGGTGGGGTCCTGTGCAGGGCTGAGGGGTATGGTCTGCAAGAGGGCCCCAGCCTCCCAGTCTCCGGGAACTGGCCTCGCCGTGGCCACAAGGGTGAGAGCACAGGGCCCCAAAAGAAACTTTCTGTGGAAAGTTTCAAGGCAGCAGCACCCCTGCTGGCCAGTTCTCAGCCCTGTCCACCCCCCAGAGGCCGGCATGCAGGCCCCAGCAGCGGCCCCGGGAAACCACAGTGACTCTGTCCTTCCTCCCCCTGCTCAGGCATTCTATCACCAACTGCACACTTTGCTAAAAACATGACTCCTCAGACAGAGTGGAGACATCCCTGCATGCCTGGGCACTGGGGGTGGCCGCCCCCCTCCCCGGCACTCAGGCCACCCACTGGTGGGGGCAGACAGCAGGGGCCTGGCGGCCAAACCCGAGGGCTGCAGGGGGTCCATACCCAGCCTCGCAGCAGTTCATAGGCCATCACCCCCAACGACCACCAGTCCACCTCGAAGGAGTAGCCAGTCCCGCCGTTGACAAAAGAGTGGAAGATCTCTGGAGCTTTCCGACAGAAAGAAGGACCAGTTGAGCTGCCAACAGATCACAGCCTGGACCCGTGGGCACAGGGCCGGCACCTTGAGGCCACACCCCGAGACCAGGCTGCCTCCAGGGTGGGACAGAGAAGCCACCGAGGTCTTGTCCTTCCCACCTGGAGGAAGCCAGCTCCCATCTGGAACCCCAGCTCGGGCTCACCCATGTACGGCTTGGTGCCTGCTAACGCCGTCGCCCGCTCCCCGTCCTTGATGATGGTGGCGATGTTGAAGTCGGTCAGGTGTGCGTGTCCTGCGCAGAGAGGGGTCAGCTGTGGCTGTCCCAGGACCAGAGACGCATCCTTGCGTGCAGGACCCCCCTCCCCCCACAGGCCCATTCCTGCCGCCACCCACCTGGGCTGCCCACACCCAGCCCCACCCACCTCTCTCATCCAGGAGAATGTTGTCAGGCTTGACATCTCTAGACAGGGCAGAAAGTGGGAAGGTGAGTTGAGAAATCTGCCCTGTTTCTGCCCTGGAATCTCTGCCACAATTCCTGGAGTCCACAGGACACTCCCCCCAACCTCTGGTCACCCACTCGAGGCAGAGGCCTGGGAGCCTGACTTGGTCCTGGGACGATACTAGGACCTCAGGGTAGGGGCAGAGGCGATGAAGTCAGCCACTTTGTTTCCTGTGGCATCTGGACAGCAGCACATATCTGGCACCAGACGCTGGGAGGGGGCCTGGAGCCCCAGAGGACAAAAGCAATTGCTGCCAGGGCCTGCCCTCCCCCTCCACGACTCAGCCTCTAGGAGACCAAGCCGCCTCGGCTCTCGCTTTGCCCCGACCTTTCCAGGCACGCAGCCAGTGCTCAGCGACCAGGTCATAACCAGACATCCGAGTCCCCAAAAGCAGAAATGCAAACACCAGTCTATTCGGCTTTAAAATATACCTCACAGGTATTTTCATTTTGTTCCATAGCTGCGGAATTTCAGCCTAATTTCTGCTTCCCAATTTCACTTCCTTCATAATCTGCTTCCTATTTTCTTTTTTTAAATTTTATTTTCAGAGCCATCACACTGGCTCTGCTTCCTAATTTCATCTGCTTTAAGCTAATGTTAAAATTAGTTTGGATTCCCTGGGACATGGTGGATGGGCAAACGGGAGCCTTCAGTTAAACGGACCAGGTGAAGGCCACCTGCTGTGACCCGGTCCCGTGTCTGTCCACCAGGGCTAAGAGCCCTCCGTGCCCAGTCTCGGCTGGGGCTACTGGGACGAGGCCCCCCACATGGACACCCGGCACACAGCTATGGGGCTGACCCGGTTGGCGCAGGTGCCACAGCTGGGGGCAGGCACTCAGGCAAGGGTGGGGCAGAGGAGCTAGACTCGCTCTGCAGGAGTGCGGACACCCTGCCAGCAGTCTGACCCGAGGTTGCTGAAGCCCTGCCCACATCAGCAGGTGCCCGCACTGTCTGCCACGCACAAACCTGTGGATGATGTGCTGGCCACACAGGTAGTCAAGGGCCAGCGCCATCTCGCAGATGTACAGCCTCACCGTGTCCTCAGAGAACTGCACGTTCTGCTGCAGGTGGTAGCGCAGGTCCCCACCCAGAAGCAGGTCCACTACCATGAACATGTCCTCCTCGTCCTGGAAGGAGTACCTGTGGGCACCGACGGAGGGCCTGATGTGTGCACCGCTGGGGAGCCAGTCATGGCTGCTCCCACCGCTGACACACTTCCCCTAAGGACCACAGCCCCACCCCAGCATCGGTCACCAGGCATTCCCCGGAGGAGAGGCCTGCCCAAAGCACTGATGGCACCCCAGCCCAGAGCTGCTCTGAGCCCAGATCCTGAGGAAAGACACACGACCCTGTGCTGGAGGTGGCCCAGCTGAGGGCCAGAGGCATCCGGGAGTGGCAAATGCAGAGCAGAGCTACAGCGCCCAGCTCTGGGTGTTTCAGGCTGCCTGGTCTCCTCTTCGGTAAAATGGGGATACAAACATCTGCCTCAGATGGTTGTTAAAAAAAAAATGAGGCCACGTAGGTCACACTCTTGACACAGTGTTGGGCAAAGAGCTGGCATTTAATAATCAGCATCCATGGTGAGGACGATGGCAGTGATGGTGGTGGTAGTGGTGGTGATAGTGATAACAGTGACTGTAATAGTATAGTGACAACAGTGATTGTGACCGTGGCGGTGGTGATGACGACGATAGTGATGATTGAGGGTGTTGGTGATGGTGGTGACGGTGATGGTGAGGATGACGATAGTGATGATTGAGGGTGGTGGTGATGGTGATAACAGTGATTGTGACCGTGGTGGTGGTGGTGGCGATGGTGACAATAGCGACTGTGTTCATTACAGTGACGGTGATGAGAGTGATGATGGTGACAGTGGTGATGGTGGCGGTGATGGTGATGATGGTGGTGAGTTTTTCAGCCCCTAAACTCTCCCCCACTGGCTAGTGCCAGAGGCTCCGCGGGGCACATCTCCATCGCAGGGAAGCCCTGGGCTTTCAGCAGACTCCGAAGAGACTGCATTAACTAACCCCAGCATGCCACGGCCACCTGGGCCCCTGCCAGCCCTGGGGCACAGGAAGGAGAACAGATGGGGAGGGGTAGAAAGGGCCTGTGGGTGGCAGGGGCATCTCCGAGGCACAAGGGCCAGGGAGCAGCAAGGGCAGGAGAGCACAGCCGGTGCCTTCCCAGCTTCAGGCCACAGCAGGCTCACCAGAGGTTCACCAGAAAGACGTGCTCGATCTCCTGCAGGATCTCCAGCTCCCGGAAGACGTTGCGGACCTCGTCGCGCTCGATGCACTGCTGCTTGTTCATGTACTTCATGGCGTACATCTTCTCCGTGTCCCGCTTCTGCACAATGCACACCTGGGGGGCACAGGGCTGTTCGGCAGGACGCCTGAGGACGCCTGGGGACACATGGGGACACCTGGAAATGCATGGGGATGCCTGGGGATACATCGTCAGGACACACGGGGACACCTGGGGACGCGCCACAGCCCCTCTGCCTCCTAGACGTGGCGGACGCATTCCTCTCCGCCACATGTGGTAGCATATTTGTTCTGGGGATTAGGACTTGGGTGTTTGGGAGGCCATGATTCTGCCCCCAGAGGTTCCTGTACTGCTTAGCATGTGGCCCTGGAGGCACCTGTCTCAGTCACATCCTGGCTCCGTGGCTGTCACTGAAGACCCCTCCCTGAGACTCAGTCCTGCGTTTCAAGTCTGCAGCAGGACACATCTGTGAACAGCACTAGCTGCAAACGGACAGGGCCGGGCCTGAGAGCACCCAGGCATGAGTCGGAGCCATGCAGTGGCCAGTTGTGCGGGGAGAGCCCCTCACCAGCCATGACCTGGGCAGGGAGTTTTCCCTTCCTAAACCCCAACATCCTTTTCCAGGGCTTGGAGCAGCGAGCAGCCTGGCGGGGTACTGGGGAATGAATGCGAAAACCCACTCAGCACAGAGCCCTGCACCCAGGAAGCCTCATCAACCATGGCTGCAGCTTCACCCTGGACAGGCATTATTCCACACTCCAGAGACCGCCTCCCGTCTCAACACTGTGAGGCCAAGGCCCCTCACCCTGTCCTGCAAGGAGACACACGGAGTGAGCATGGGGCATGGGGGCCAGCGCTGCCACCAGAGCGGGACGCCTCCGTGGCACCGGTCCCCACGTAGCTCTTCAGGCACCGTGCCCTCTGAGCACGGATCGTCAGTGTCAACACTGACGCCGCAAACACACAGCTAATTGCTTGGCAGTGAGGATCAAAGTGAGGCAAAGGGTGAGACGCATCAATGAGCCGGGGGTCCCTTGTGGCCAAGGAATGTCAATCAGAATTAAGGACAAAGATCCCCAATGGAAAGCCAGGAATTAAGGCACAAAGTTGTAAGCAGCAGAGCCAACACCCCTGTCTCCCACTCAGGTTGGGAGAGGACAGGTAACCCAGACCCATTTCCAAGGCCTTCCACAACCTCTGCTATCTGGTCCTCAAGGTGCTGGAGCCCAGCGGGGGACCTGGAGGAACTGGACGATTCTGGATCTCAAGGTGGGCCACAGACGGCCCTCGGCTCCTGGTCACATGCCCTGGAAGCGTGGTGGCACAACCCGTAGTCCCAGCTACTCAGGAGACTGAGAAGGGGGGATTGCTTGAGCATGACAGGTTGAGGCTGCAGTGAGCCATGACTGTACCACTACACTCAGCCTAGGTGACAGAGCGAGACTCTGTCTCTAAAAAAATAGTCAGATGATTAACAGCCTGAATTCCATGTGCAACCTTCATCCCTCTCCGCCACAAACAGTAACACGTCTGTTCTGGGAATTTGAACGTGGGTGTTTTGCAGGCCATGAGTCTGCCCCCAGAGATTCCTGTACTGCTTAGTGTGTGGCCCTGGAGGCACCTGTCTCAGTCACATCCTGGTTCTGGGGCTGTTACTGGAGACCCCTCCCTGAGACTCAGTCCTTTTGTGACGCAAAGTGGTGACCCTCCCTCCCCCTGGGGGCCACTGGGAGTCACACTGTGCACAGAGCACAGGGCTGGCCCAAACCAGGAAAGCACATGTGATGGTGCCGAGCAGTGGCCTGGGTGGATCCAGCTGCAGCACCATGGCATGGGAGACAGTGACGTGGCCTGGCACCATGGGCTCTAAGTGTGGCCTCTCCAAGAAGCTGGTACTAGGCGTGGCCTCAGCACCTCCCCGACCGGTGGGTGGGGAAAGCTGGGCCTGGAGGGACAGGAAGAGCCTTGTGTTGGGGGCTACCCAGAGGCGCGTGTGCTGACGGGGGCTCCCGAACACACGGCCACACCTGCGAGGAGCGGGGGCAGCTGCAGGCAGCCCGAGAAGAACAGACGGAGACTGAGCTTGAATGAGGCTGCCTTGGGAGGGCTGGGCTGGGCGGGGTTTCTCCTGAACTTCCTGCATTTCCTGCGACCATTTTTAAAATTGTTATTTTGAAAGCCAGTTGAGGGTTTCAGAATGACAGTGAGCATAAGCTGTAGCAGCCCCTGGCTGCCCACTTCAGCTCCGAAGACCCTCTTCTGCTGCTTCCCGCCGCCAACAGGGCAGAGTCGCGTGGCTCAGCAGCACGGCCTTCCTCCCACGCACACGGCCACAGGAGGCAGAGGCATCCCGTGCTCCAGACGGAAGCCCCAGCCCCACTGCACAGGCACAGAAGGAGCAGTGCTCTCCCGCGCCAGCCCCAGCACCCGTGGCCTCCCGCAGACGGCCACTGCACGCTCAAGGTGGCGACTGCAGGTCTGGAAACTGCTCCCGAAGGGCTGCTTCTTGCCCTGGGGCTGGGACCAGACAGGCTGTGAGACAAACAGGGTGGAAAATCCGGACCCCACCCTCTGCCCCTCAGGAGCCTGACTTGGGGGGCACTGGCTGGGGCCAGGGCTTTTGCTGCTTGGGGGGAAGCTGGCGGGGGAGCTGCAGAGCCCACCTCTGCCTGGAGCAGCGCCAATGCCCAGAGCCCAAGGCCGTCCTCAGCCAGTCCCAAGCCTCGGGCTTTCCGTCCCTTGTGCAAAGCCTCAGAAAGCTGCCTGCCCAAGCCACCGAACTGCCTGCCCAAGCCACCGAACCCTCCCCAGGGTCCCTCTGTCCCTCCTGCTCATGTTGCAGCTCAGTTCTTATGGAGGAATCTCTGGAAGAACATGCCTTCCCTTGGGGTGCTAAACCCCCACAGCCCACTCACCAGGAGACAGGGCACCTGGGCTTCCCGTGCCCTCTGGGCCCAGTCACAGGTGCGGCGGCCAGACACAGGGTGTCTACTCCAGACAGGACCTCACCCTCCTGCCAAGCGAGCTCACCCAGGATCACCTGCTTTCCCAAGCGCGGGGCTTGGGCTCCATCTGGGGCCAGCCCCTTGGCCCTGTGACCCGAGCCTGCTCTCCCCATCACACACATCCTGTCACCCGCAGCCAGGAAGCAGGCACAGAAGAGCTGCCTCGAGTCAGGGCCTGGCCTCGCACACACATGCCTGGCCTCGCACACCCACAGTTCCGTTGTCCACCAGAACAAAGCAGCAGATCCAGTTCCCTCCAGCCTGTTACCCCACCTGGGAAACAAACTGCCCTGGACGGTGGAGTCATCAGCCACGATCGAAGCCCCTGGCCTGGCCCTGTGGGAGGAGCTGCCCTGAGGAGCAAGGGGAGGCAGGGTTACACCCAGGTCTCCCGAGTCTTTGGGCTCTGTGTTCTGAGAATGTTCTGGAACATTCTCAGCTCAACTGCAGTTCAAGAAAAGCTTGTAAGTCTTCCTCTGTGCCAGCCCTATGCGAGGTACTGGCAGGGCAGGCTGAGTTGCCATGGTCGCTCCCTGGAGACCCTGGGGGGAATGCCTCGACCCCCGGCAGCAGGCCCGAGTGTGTCCCCAAGACACAGCCACCAGGAGCCTCGGAATGTGGCCTTATTGGGAACAAAGGTCTTTGAAGATGTAATTAAGTTGAGGATCTGGAGGCCCTGAATGGGGATGGGCCCTAAAGCCAATGACAGGCATCCTTACAAAAGACAGGAAAGAGACGACAGCACGGGCGCAGGGGCGAGGAGACGGCGCAGACATGGGGGCGAGGCAGCGATGTGAAGATGCCGGCCTGGGGATGGAGTGACGCGGCAGCAGCTGAGGATGCCACGAGTGGCCAGCAGCCACCAGACACCAGGAGAAGGCACAGCGGGTTCTCCCACGGAGCCACCCAGAGGACCCACTCTGCCAGGTCTCAGGCTTCCCATCTCCAGGGCTACAAGAGACACTTCTGTTGTTTGCAGACCCTGAGTTACGGAACTTGGTTCTGGCGGGAAACTCACTTTCTTCGCTCCTCCTGTGTGTACGCATCCCTGAAAACACCCTGCAGGCTTTGACCGCCCGCGGCCACGCCTTCAGGCAGCCGCCTCACCAGGGCTCATACCCGCAGCCGCCTCACCGGGCTCACGCCTGCAGGCAGCCGCCTCACCAGGGCTCATACCCGCAGCCGCCTCACCAGGGCTCATACCCGCAGCCGCCTCACTGGGGCTCACGCTGCACCCTCATCCAAGCACCTGGCAACCCAGCAGCCCACTTCCCCCAATCCCCTTCACCGCTTTCTGACCCAGGCCAGCAGGTGGGGAGCCTGGCCCCGCCCCTTATTACTAGGACTCCCCCTCCGAGGCCTGGACCCTCGGGCACGCTCAAGGTGGTTTGGGGGTGGTGTGGGGTTTTCCGTTGAAATGGATTTGATTAAGTCAATCACAGCAAAGTGCTCTTAGGTGAACACAACAGAGGGCAGGTCCATCAGGCTCCCTCGGGCCCCTGATGCGGGAGGCTCCAATGAACGGTGGCGTAAAGCCCTGGGGTTGGTGCAGTCTCTCTGTCTAGAGGAACATCAGCACCCAAGATCACACACAGCAGTGTTTACAAAAAAGACTGGAAACCCAGCGGCCTTTTATGACCATGCCCGGGGCGCTGAGGGCAGGCAGGTCTGACTCAACCACTTCCTCCAGGAAACTGGTCCCGGCTTTCCCGGCCGCTTCCTCCAATCATCGACTTAAACCCAAAGAGGAAATGGAGTTAGAGGTCTCGCCATGAAGAGGAACAAGCCAACGCCGGGCTCCGGAGCCCTGGGCTTTCCCCATGAAGCGCCACTGACAGGGAGGCCACGCCACCACCTGCAACAGGCTGGTACCTGCAGCCACGTGACGCCATTTCAACTGGATGCTGTTCACGCATTTTGCAGATTTCAGTGATTCACCCAAGCTCTTCCTCTTTCCCAGTAATTTTTGTTCCCCAGAAGCAAATGCCTGACCACAAGTACCTAAGGCCTCTAAACGGTATGAAACCACCTCCGAATCCTACCTGGGGGAGCTTCTGGTGTCCCAAGGAGAAACAGAGCTTGGGGACGTGG